TGAGGTAAATTTAGTTTGACTTTGAAATTAGTTGCTTTCTAAACTGATAGTAAATCTCGAATGAGTCGTATTCACTCTAGGGCGCGTGAGGTGACGAACGAGTAATAGTTGAATTTAGACTTGGATAAGTACTGCTCTTATTCATGATTTTCCGTTAGTTTCAAAACCCGCAAAATGAGAATTTAATTAAGGTGGTCAGTTGTAATAGTAAATATAAGTTTGCTTTACCGACAATTCTTTCTTATTTTGTCGAGCTAAGAATTTGGTCTAATAGTTGATCACATATTCTCGTCTACCGATTTGGGATCGTTTATTATCACTCTTCTCGCGGAATTCTCTTTCAATCTGCCTATTTGAGATGCTCCTTAATTATGCATTTCGTTGCGCAATCTTTCTTTTTCTCATGCTTCTCTTTTTCAATGCGTTCAGTTGGCTGGTTCTTTGTTCGGCCCGCCTAGCCTATGCAGCGGTGGCAGTCGACTTTGTCTGTCTACAAGTCATCTGGCGACAGGCTCGTAACGACGTCAGAAAGGTGTTCGGACAAACTAGTACATCTGTTTCGTCTACCTCCTCCGTATCCTTTCTCGCCTTCCATCCGTCTTCATTGTCCAGATTGGCCGTCTCCGAAAGACTTCCCCCTCTTCAGGCATTCGTCTATCTTGTCTGTCTGCTCAGCCGTCCGACCGGAGCACTCCTCTGGGCTGTCGTGGCCCTCAAGGAGTGCCTACTTACGCAACTTTGGCGAGATGAGCTGGCCGGCCAGGCGCCTAGGGCCCGACTGAAGGCGTGCTTTTGTGCCGCAGTCTTCTATTGGGTCCAGGGCTGGACCACCTTCTATCAGCAGGTATTGGTAGGCTTTTTACTCGATCCTCGCTATTCATCCTTTATTTTTCTGGGAAAGCTATCTCAAGTTAGGAGATGTATTCATCCTAATTCGTTTGAAGCGATGAAGGACTAGTGGTTGAATTTTCCCACATTTATATGAGTTAAGCTGACGTTTTCATTGAATTGCATATAACCTTGTTTTCCCAAAAGGTGTTATCATCCAGATAAAAGAGGACTGCAGTTTCAACCTCGCGTAAGTCTTATAAACACCCTCAGTGGGAGTCGAACCATAACAGTATAGCGTGTAATCTCGGCACGTTAATTACTCCGCAACATTGCCTCGGTTGCGCTTGGTTCATAGGGCAGATGTGAATTTCATGAAAGACCAGGTATTTTCCCATATCACATTCGTTGGTGGGATTGTCGATGGAGCAAAATTATATTTGCTATGACAATAAACTACATTACTTATTTTTCGTTTATAAGTAGCGTCTATAAACCATACTTATAAACGAAAAAAATTGTCTAAAAATGGAATATCTCATAATTTCTATGATTTCAGAAACAGGAGCGAAGCCTGATTTGCGTCGTGACAATGTTTGCATAATATCCCTACTTCTTCAATACTACCTTGAATAAGCCTAGGCCACCTAAATTGATTTAAGGACTAATAATATAGTTTTCTGCTCAATAGTATGAATAAATTTCATAATGTGGCATGACTCTCCATTTCGAAGGGAAAGTTGATTTGAAGGAATTCGTGATGTGGTCTAACCTGAAACCGAAAGAGGATTGAAGCATGGGGAAGTCTGTTTATTCGTGCAAAGAAGTCATCGGATCATTGTCCTGTAAAACTGTGCCAAACTTTCCTTCTTTTCTTGGTTTAATATATTTTTTCTCTACTTCGTAAAGTATGAAATCTTGTTCTGATGATATCTGTCACAGTACAGACGAAAGCTTAGCACAGTTTCACCGGGGTCACCGGACGGCGAGCCGAGGTTTTCTTTGCACAATTCAACAGTCTTACTTACGCGACAATCCTCGTTTGATTTCCGGTGAGACCACATCACGAATTCCTTCCAACCAATTTTGGTTCGAAATGGAGAGTTATGCCACAATATTTCATTAAGGAATTCTTCGAAGTCCAGTTTTTTTATAGATTTCATAATGCCATTAGTATTTACTTTGCCTTGCCTCCAAAAAACTTTATAATCCTGACTTGACTGAATTTTCTACCTCACTACATCGTCTTATCGGCACACCC